AGAGAGAGAGAGAGAGAGAGAGAGAGAGAGAGAGAAAGAGAGAGAGAGTGGGTGGTTAAATAAAAAAGGATGTGTTGATGTGATGTAACGGTGACGAGAAAAGAATATTCGTCCAGAAGAACGCTGACAAAACCTTTGTGAATAAAGGTACAAACACCAAAGGTAGCAGAAACTTTAATCCGGATTTATTATGTTATTAAAAATTATCATACATTATGACAACTACAAAGTTACAAGATATGTTCCAAATGCCCCTTATTTCGAGTAAGGAACATTCTGACACACTGGGTGAAATTGACAATAACGCTTTGACACTGCTCGTGGAAAATCCCTCTCGTGTCCATGACAGCATCTCTCAAGTGCTGAATGCTCTAAAGTCAAAGGTTTTACCACACACTCTGCCCTTCATGCACCTGTAAAGGTAAATTTTGAGCATGGGACTCAGATCCTACAATAATTTTGGAGCCCAGTTCCGCCCAACCCCATGACTGACTGTTTTGTTACCAAAACAGTTAAAGGCTGATCCTGCGCAGAATACTTGTGGAAACTTGGGATGCAGTTCCATCTTACTGAAAGTGCTGGTTCTGTCTCTCTTCACCCACCCCGACGTCCCCCTCTTCCTAAAAAAAAAGAAATAGTCTAAAGCTTCTCCAGAGATTTGGTAGGATGGTGAGGTATCGATGAGAATTCACTGGGATCACCAAAATCACGGATCACTCTAACCTTTTCAAGAGTGGATAGTTTCACAGACTACGCACTGTGTGTTGCTCGGCACTGCGAGTTCAAGTTATCATATTTTTCTGAGGACTAAAACCTTTCAAAATTTGCAGCCTATTTTGCAAATGGACCTTTTTCTCAGGGCTTCCTGTTTGTTACAGGTATATCCCGTATTTCCACTTAAATAATGTCCGGGTCGATTTGGGACATTTTGTTTAGTGATACGTAGCACGCTATACAGGGGCGAATTGCTTTGTCATCTTGCCATATGCAACATTAGTGGCAGTGCAAAAAAGTGATGTGGATGTGTGTTCTGACTTTCAATGAAATTTGGTGTTAGCTGGATCATAAACAAAAAAGTTGTCAACTATTCTTTTGATAGATGTTTTTCTGGTCAGCTTGTAGATCTAGGTCTGTTTTAAGTCTCATAAAGTTGGTGAAATGACCTTGCTAACATTTTCACATAGATCTAGTTGATTATCTTATCTCAATTAGGCCTATTCTGATCAATTTTTAAAACTTATTTTGTTCGATCTCATCTGGTGTTATTTTAATTAGTTTTGCATGGTAATATTGTTGTATGTCATCTTACTTTATTTCGTCGTTCAAAGTTGCACCTTATCTTATAGTAGATCTATCTTATCTAGTCGTATCATCCTTGCAAAGCAGAATAAAATATTACTGTAACTAAAAGTACGTCATTTGAAATTTTCGAGAAAAGTGTAACGGTAGAAAGGCTCGATTTTTATTTTTATTTTTTCAAGTCGAGGGTGGATTTGTTCGGATCTGAACCCATTCCAAAGCTGAGACACTTACCTGAAAATCAAAATTACTTGCGCTTGGGCGATTGTTGCTGAATGAGCCGAAAATTTCCACAGTGCCTGAAGCAGGCTGAATCTGAAGGTGAGTACAGATTGTAAAAGTTAGAAAGGAAGAAAATCGAATTTAAAAAAGAATGTTAATTCAAACAGCATCCTCCCTCCTCCTCCTTCTCCTCCTCCTCCTTCACCTCATCATCATCATTATCATCATCATTATCATCATCATCTTCATCATCCTTTCTGTATTATAGTGCGTAAACAAAAAGTACAGGGAGACTTGGGTATTTTGGAAATTTTAAGACATTAACTGCATAAGGTCATATGAGCGCCAGAAGATTAGAGGTGTTACAAGAGAGTAACGAACATAAAAAAGAAGATAAGGACGATAGACGTTTGATAGGAAAGAAGAAGCAAACCACACCAGAGCACCCGCCAACCTTTGTTGGAAAAAAAAGAATCTTTTCTCTATTTTGCTTGCAGAAAATAAATTGTGCATCTCTCATTCTCGTTACAACCACACTTAACTTGCCCATAATGGACAAAATGATAGCAAAGGATAAACATTGTTAACAAAACATACAGGTATCTTAAATTGTGTGATCTATAATGCGTTACTTGGAAAAGAGATTATAATAGGCTTAATTATAAATAGTCCGGATGTTCTGATTGGCTGAATGTATGTGTCGTGGAATTATCTCTTCCGATTTTTCGACGGCCTGCCGTATAAATATCCACTTCCAAAAAAGAGTCAACCAGAAACCGGAAACAGGTCTCAGCAAAGCAAATCGAAACAAAAAGACAAAAACAAGAAACACCCATCCCCCCCCCCCCAAAAAAAAAGCCAACAACAAACAAACAAACAAACCCGCCCAAAAAACAAACGCACACTACACAAAATCCCCAAAACAAAAACCCTGACCCAGAACGCTTACCAAACTTGTGTAGGGCGTTACCGTCCAGCCTAGTCACGTTGACGAAGCCACTGCAGCTCCCTGAGCCACCTCCGACGGTCAAGTACATGGGCCCAGTGGCGTCCCTCACGTAGAAGATGGCCGGCGTGACGTCAGAGGCCAAGCCCTGGACGGAGAGGACGATGCAGGGGTCAATGCGGCTTCGACTATTTTACGGTTACTTCTGTATCATTTCATGATTATGGTTCATGACCATCATGAAGAGAGAGAGAGAGA